GGATAGGTCATTGGAACCGGATATCGCTACTGTCAACGAATGGGTCGCTTATCAAGAGTCACAGGAAGTCACTTCAACATCTACGGGAAGTGCACTACACTCCTCGGTGCTACATGACGGTCAATATGGTTTGCCGGATGTTCTTGGCGGAACAGCTGAGCATACCTTTGGACAAGATACGCCGAAGACTGTAGCCGATGACCTACCAGTGTTACACGATGTTCAATATTTGGATGGGTTGCCGGATGTTATGCTACTTGACCAAACCGCTGAACTTGACTTCGGGATAGGTGAATATGGACCGGAATATCCAGCGAGTGTATCAGAGTGTTTGGCAAATGAAGGGAATTCATTAAGCCACACGACGCCTGTTGATGAAACAGCTGAACTTCTCAGTTGGATGAAAACAATTACGGACCAGAGTTCTCCATGACAACGGAGTTCTCCATGACCATGACGATGGAGTACTCCGTCGTGGAGTAGAGGACGGTTGCCAGATGTGATGCTTCGTGATACTGATGCAGAACAGTAGACGATGCACCGATTTTTACCCTCAGAGGAGTCAGCCACTCCCGGAGCGGTAGTGAGAGTGCGCACACTTGGCTACATGTTGTCATAGTATGCGGGGCATTTCAAGAAGCCTATTCTCGAGGGGTTAAAATGCGGACTGTATGGAGTACTTGCGGAGGGAGTTCAGAATGGCTGGGTTGCTTGTTGAGTATCAAGCTGGGTTGTGGCCCATCTGAGTGCGTCAATGAGTTACATCTAGTGCGTGATTGTTGGCGGACGTTAAAAGAGTCTGTTGACCAAAATAACACCGTCGTTGGTTCACGGGCTGTTTGTCACAACTTGCCGGGATATCGGTCCACAAGCTGCTAGTTGCCCGACTCTCATACTTTTATTGTCCTCAGATCTGCTGCCGCATTCGAGTGTCTTCCCTGAACTCCCAGCAAAGGGAAAAAGACCTAACCGACTACACCTCTCGAACCTGCCGGCTCTTACAGCGGAGCAGTTGTTCGCCCTGAAACCCAGCACGACCCTCAGGAAGGCCCTTCGTGGTCCCATCCTTTGTTTGTATTCGTTCAAGCTCACGGCTGAGACCTCCTGCACTTCCCCTTCAATGACGGACCCAAGCCCGGGTTGGGCCCGTTGCCAGACATCGGGCAAGACAGCGTCTGGGTTGCAGGGTTGGAGAATGGGTATGGTGCATGTTTTGCTTTATGTTTCTTACGGAGACTCGGGAAAGCCGCAGTCGAAAGAACTTTAGGTCCGCGACTCCGATAGCGTCGGTAGCCGGGTAGGGGCGGTACGCCGGTCCGACGCAGTTCCGAAAGGCCGTCACCCATTCTCGAATGGCGGGCCCCAGCTCAGGTGTTATTCCGCAAGTATCAGGGTGTGACTGAATCACTTGCTCCAACGCATACAGACAGTGACTCCCGGCCACGATAATTACGGCACGTAGTCGCCGGTCGAACAGCACCGCGGCGTGCAGGGCGTTCAGCTCCGCTTTCGACAGTTCTTCGGGTACCTCTCCGGGCAACCCAACCACCAGGTCGGGGACTTGCGCGATAAGCTTAAAACCAGCACCCATCACCTCACTCATTTCATCCCAATGCTTCAGTCACTCAAGAGCCTTCACCATACCCACCCGCTTGCCACCCACCTCACAAGTCAGGACAGCACCCACAAGCAACACACTTCTTTCAACACAGGCATCTGCACTCAAACACCTCATTCAAATAATCCAAAAAAAATCCGTTTTTACAAACAGTCGCAACTCATTACCGTCCTTTCCGGCCATGCGTTTCTGGTGAACACTGTTCAGCCCGGTTCGTGAAGGTGACTCCGGTTGTCCGTTAACAAATAAATAACTCATCTTGCTTGCGTTCCTGTTCGGTTCTCCTCCGCTCGTTCCTGTTCGGTGTCTCGTCCGCTCGTTCCTGTTCCGGGTCTCGTCCGCTCGCGCTCCCTTTACTGAGGTCGACGGATTGCAGTAGGCATCCTGGTGACCGTGATCCGACACACTTT